CCTGGTTCATGACGTGAAATGTCGTTTCCAGAGTGACTCCTCGAGCCAGAACGGCAGCACTATCTCTCCAGAGGTTTGTTCCACTGCATTATTAAAACATGTTAGTGTTATGCAACGCGGTACTATCTTATCCTCGAGTCTCATCTATATGAGGACTCGTGGGTGAATAATACACACGCCACTTCCGTCATCCACCATTGTTCTTTTTACATCGGTATCCGCAATACGTAAAGTTATAACAAAAGCATCATAGTGAGGGAAAGACAAACCGTGGGTATCTGACTTATCGAAGATAACCCTATCTTCGAGGTCATCATACCGTTAGTGAGCGACTGTCCGCTTGAGTTTGTGTGTAGTGGTCAAGTTCAGATGGTTGATTACCGTATCATCGCCGCCGCCAATGATCATTTGTATGGTATGAGCTGGTGAAGGTGGTTTTGGGGGTCCTTGAGGTTGATCGCGCCCACGAGCGAAGTTAACCCGTCCTCGATCGCTCAGCAGTTCTTTCAAGTGTCCCTGGTTTAGCATTCTTACCACATCCTGTCGCAGGCCTATGCAGTCTTCGGTCTTATGCCCTCATTCCAGATAGAATTCGCACAGGACGTTCGATCTCCGGGTGCTTGGATCCGATTTCATCTTTTGCGGCCACTGCACCTTTGTGCCGAGCTCTTCTAGCGATACACTATTTCTGAAGGAGAAACACAAAAGTTATGAGTAGACAACAGAGGGGGCATACCTCTCTCGTTTCGGTGTGGCACGGTGTGTCGGGGCGTGACGTCTGCATGTTGTGGAGGAGGTGAGATGGATGTCCGGATGTAGGGATGATGCCTTTCTCGATTGAAACGGGATAGTTGGTCCCTTCGACCATCGTTGCGGCGATCTCTCCTTATCTCGGTTTGTACCGAGGTTAGCCGTTGGATCGGACCATTTAGGTCGTCCTCATCTGCCCTTACTTCGGCACAATAGGCATTATGGATTTCTTCCACGTGGTGGGAGGATATTTCATGAGCCTACTTAGCAGTTTTTTAGTTGCTTTCGACCCGTTTCTATTTACCCCATTTTGGAAGGCTGCTACCGCCATCCCCTCTGATACATTAGGTAGGCTCATTAACCCTATTGAGTCGGGCTAGGAAATCCCGAAATCCTTCGCCTGTCGTTTTCCTAACGGCGAAGATGTCATTTACCATGGCTTCTTCCTTTTTTGCTTCCGCGTGAGCGGTGACGAATTTATCTGCCATTTCTTTGAAAGTCGATATTGACCGTGCCGGTAGTTGGGTATACCATGTCAGTGCTCCCCCTGTCAGGGTTTCGCCGAACTTTTTCAGTAGCTCCGATGACACTTGTTCTTTCGACAGATCGTTGCCTTTTATAGCCGTGATGTCGTGGATTATATGATCTTCTAGGTCCGTGGTGCCATCGTATATTTTCAAGTATGGCGACATTATGAAGGTTTTTGGAATAGAGTGGGGGGCTTCCCCTTCATTGTATGGTTGCTCGACGAATCGGTCGATGTCTCATTTTGGTAACAACTTCGGAGCGCCCGGTATTTTATCGACCCTTTCTTGATGCTCCTTCATCTGATCACAGAGCGTTTTATTTTCTTTTTCCATTTCTTCCATTTTCTTTAAGATGGCTGCAAGTGCGTCGTTACCTGCATCAATGACAGTATGAGTGTTACCTGCGCGTGGAGTTTCTGGATCATCAGCGACAATTGCGGTGTCAGCGTGTATTGTGCGACCGATATCCCTTTGAACAGGTTTGTCGAGTATGCTACTCAAGGTGTTTGTTAACCACTCTTCTAATAGCTTTTTCACAGCCGGTGGTGCTTCTCCTGCTGGGAATGTTGAGGTTCCCCTCTCGCGCGAGACAGTCACGCTTTCGTGTGCCGGGGGGAGGGGGGGGAGGGGAGGGTGAGGTATCTCCCTCAGGTGTAGCGCTTGGCGTTGTATTTTCGTTGTCTTCTCGGCCAGCTTCGTTGATAAAATCTAGAAGGTTGTTCGTGACGCCTACTATTGCTTTTAATCTTGCTTCCCCCTTTCCTGCCATTGTTGGTCTTTGCGAGGCCAAGAAGAGGTGATTATCCCTTTCAAGGATCTAGACGAAACTAAAATCTCAGCTAAAGAAATCCCCACAGACGGCGCCAAATTGTTTGACTCAAAAGATATTGGAACCTTTTTGAACAAATCAATCAAAGAGAATGGAGGGGTAAATCTTAGCTAAGTATAATGAACTCTAGAACAAAAGGAAAAAAAGATGAGCACAATGGGAAATATTTCTTGAACTTATGAAAGTCAGTGATTGTACATTAAGAATGCAAATCTTTAATGTAGAAAAGGTATTACAATCAGAATTCTTTGCTAAAAGAGCAAAAAGGCCCCTCAACAAGGTGTTTTTCCCACTATATATAAGAGACAACCCCCTTCTGAACCCTAGAAAACATACCATAGGGAATATTCGCGAGTATATTCCTAATGCCCCCTATTGGGCCTACACTACTGCAAAAGCCATACGTCCTCTGTTCGCTATATGTCGTCCTTCGCAGGGCGTCGAGCTATGAAGATCTCATCTTCTGTCGTATTTGTCAATGGCTGTGGTCGTCCAAATAATACATTAGCATTACATAAGCGATTCTGTTTGGAGCCACATAATTCGAAGGTATTAAAAGTGCTCAGTTATAGCACCATTGGTCAATTAGCTTGATCTATAAGAAATTGAAGGTAAAAATGCTAATATGTTGCCTGCGATGAAAGTGTTAGCAGTTAGTATTTGGAAATGTGTATTCAAACCATGTCTTAATTAGGCAGATGTAGCTCTTACGATTTTGGCTTAATCATCACATTCTCTTTGAATTGTCGAATTTTGTTGTAACCCCATAACTAGAAAACTATATGCCTATAGCAAGGCAAGAAATTCCAAATAAATATAGTAATTATATGCCATCAAGACAATGTGTTAATAGAAAATCAGATAATATACTAAAAAAGAATGTGTGTTTCGTTAATATTCCATTTTATTAAGAGGTAGAATCAGAAACAGTTGATATTCTTTCTTCTTTTCCTTTTCAAGGTATTTGCACATTGTTTGCCAAAATTTGATTGAACATATAATAAAGGAGTACTTAATTGTAGGAAAGAAGGAGAAAATAAAAGAAAGAAGAAAAAATAAATTGAGGATTTTTTAAATTTATTTTATCTTTGATTTAATTTTAAAAAAATTATTATTATTCACCTATATCTATATAACTGAACGAAGCGCGGCCAGTTCACTAGTTAGTACACCTTCCGTTCCAATTTATGTGAACCTGTTTGACTGGGCACAGAGTTTAAGAAAAAATGAAGACTTTTGATATTTGTGGTCCTAAACAAGCCAAAAAGGGGCCAGAGTATTTGTGTGGTTATAAAAGTTTCTTATTAAGGGTAGAATTGTAAGTTTAAGCTAAATTGTTATCAAATTTAGAAAGGGTCATTCTTTTTGGAATGGACCAAAAAGGAAATAGGTTCACATAAACTGGAACAAGGGAATATATAATAGAAGGAGCCCCAAATGTTAAGAGCGGATCGGGTCATTTTCCTTTGAACCTCTCTCGTCTCACTTTCATTTCTGGAACTTTCCTCTGAATACCCTAATTAACAGCTTGTTTGGATGGTTGTTACCCATTGTATCGTATTGTATTGTTTTTCCATAACAATGTTTGTTTTGATTGTTTAGTTATAATTGGTTGTATTGTATTTGTTAAATCCATTGTTCCGGAACAATGAAAAATCTCATTTCTCGAAACAATCGATTTGGTGTGGTGGGATTTTTCCTATTTTTCTTTCTAATTATGCCCTAACTTATTACTTTATAATTCTATTTTACCTTTACCTTTTTTTATTTTAAGTAATAGCAAAGTCATATAATTCTATAATAGAATTCTATGTGAAGTAAGACAACATCCCAAATATAACCTATATACGTGAAAATTCCTACTCTTTTGGTATATGTTTTACCTTACTTTTGTTTCATTCTTTCTTCTACTTTGACTTGTAATTCCGATTCTATTTACTTTATCTCCAATTAACTTTGTGAAATTGGTTGTTTTCAAGTGTGCAAAGTATTATTATTTATCTTTATTCTGCCAACTCTTTCATTCGTTTCTTTATCATCGTTGTTAAATTTTTATCCTTAAGTTATGGATTATATGTCATGTTGTTAGGAAATATTACTTATGATCTAAATTTTGCATGGAGTCACTACTACAAAACCAGGTTTTAGCGACGGACAAATTCTGTAGCTAAACAAAAAATTCGTCGCTAATCTCATTTAGCGACGGATTAGCAACGGATTATCAAGAAATTCTGCTAGCTACGAGCGTTTTAGCGACAGATTAGCGACGGCGTTCGTGGCTATTTCTAGTTTCTTTTGTAGTGAGTCTTACTTAACATTTTTTTTATTATTATGATCTAATTATGAATATAGTGTACTTTAATTATTTTTAATATTGTTAACTTGTTCCATTAATTTCGATAGAATTTGTATGAATTTAATTTCTTAATTTATATATAAGACATAATTGGTGATAAATATAGAAAGGGGTTTTCTTAAATAATTTTATGCGTAATTCTTGATAAATTAAATATTTAAAACAACTGAGAGTATTTTAGTAAACTTAGCAGTTACAGTACAGTACGATACAGTTAAACCAAACAGCAAAATGTTATTTAACAACAGGATACAATACAATCTATCCAAACATTATATTAACAAAACGATACGATACAACAGAGTGTAAACTTCCCAAATTCTGCTTGATTTAGAGTATTAACAACCTTCCAAATTTGCTAAGGTCATTAATGTAATATGAAGAGTTAATGTTCCTTAAGAGTCCCTTGTAACCTTGACGTTGTAGGGAAAACCAACTGATTAGCAATAAAGTTCGAGTGATAGCAGGGCAGGGAAGTTATTATGACTTCTTTCTCGACTAGCCAAAGAAAAGGAATTGAAAAGATGAAAAATATAGATTTCTAGAATCCCAAAATTTTCATTATACTGCAGTACAACTTGATTAAAAGGAAACAACAAATAATATTTGCAATCTGTTATCCAATGTAAAACAATGTTCATAAACTACGAGTACATCTTAAAAGGCGAGAAGGGAGTGGGGGTGAATCAATTCAGTATAACTTCAACGCAATTGCTCCACAGGCTGCTAGAAGTACAAATACTGAAAGTTTCTGCGAATTCGGGGAAGAGGAAGGAGTCAAATCAGGCTTGAATCCTGAACTTGTATCAGGATTTCCTAACCCACCGTTTGTTGTAGATGGCGGTGTGAAACCATTGTAAGGATTTCCCAAGCTGCCGCCTGATGGAGATGGTGGTGTTAAGTCTGGTGTTGTATCACCCACTGGTCCCAAAGGAGGATTGAACGGCTCAGGGATATCGTCACCTGCCATTCGTTTACATGAGCCAAATTAGACTATATAGAATTCATCATGTTCAATAAATTCGCGAGAAATGTTAAAAGTTTTACCTTCAGGGCTAGGAGCTGCAGGTGACCTAGGATTTCGAAATGATCTTGGAGACCCTGATGGTACTAAGGCAGCTGGACCTGTCACACCAATCTAATTGTTAGTATAAAAACAAAAGTTTGGTAAATTAAAGATTTGATCTCGAAACACAAGTGTAAGATTAGATAAATTAGTTGGTTTGGTACCTGGAGCTGGAAGAGGGGTAGCAGAACCTGCAATTAGAAACGGAAAACAGAATTAGTAATCAAATCAATAGATCAACATTGGGGCAAAAGTTGCCAACTAGCCTTCAAAAGTCATTTTTAGTTTCAATTTGCATCTTACTTCAACATATTGCAAATTTGACTACCAAATGACACTTATACCCTCGTACGACCTAAAGAAATGTGTGCTCGAGCCACAGATCGGGTATCGTGTTTTAGTAGCTAAATCTTGTTAAAATGCTTGTTACCTTTGCATTCGATGGGAACACCACCGTTGTTACAAGCTTTGGGGAGGGTAATTGCCCAATTTCTGTTTGGTACTTTAAAAGGAACATTTCCAGTTACAATAAGGCAGAGGCAATCTTTGCCACTGCTTGTAAGTTCCTTGAGAGATTGACAACAAGCTGAAGTTGGTGAACCTGAACCACCATTGCTCATGAAGTTTATACAAGGGTTAAAGCTACGTAGCATTGCAGCGCTACATGCTGTACTAATTTGCCCAGAAACTTTGATGCTAAAAATCATCAAAACAATAGCCAAAAACGGTACCAATCGACGAAAATCATTCAAGAATTTGAATCCTTCCATTAGGTGTAGTTCCTTTTTTTTTTCTTCCCTTTTTGTATGAGATTTTAAAGAATGGTAATGTGAAAATTTATAGATGAAAACATTGAGGTTTAAGAAGAAAATGGAGGGAAGAAAATACAAAAGTCCAAAGTGATTTTGAGGCTCAACTACCTTAACTAACTATATATCAATCAGAGTATTTAGGTGACCTTGCAAGTTTTTTTTTCTTTGTATGGGTTCTGACTTTAGAAATCTTTAGAAGGTAACTAATGTGTTAACTAAGATAAATTATATTATCTTAGTTATCATATAGATTTATATGTAATTATATTATATTTATGTATTAGTTGTGTAAATATTATTTTTCACTGTTAGTGCAAAATTAACTCAAACGGAAAAAGACAGAGCAATAACGAAGGAATTAATAATTTAACAATGCTAGGGAATGTCATGGCCATACAGGTGGCAACAAAAGACCAAAAGTATACGATGTAGTTAGGTGTCCTTACCAGATAGCCGATTCTTGACGTAGATGAACTTTGATTACTTGTAACTTGTTTTCTTCTTCTTTTTATGAACAATGTTTATCTATCTCGGTTAAGGTGAATTTCAAAAAACGAAAAGTGCCAAAGAAAGAGGAATAAGTGTGCAACGTAAAGAATGCTTCTACCTTAATCTTGTCAAGTCTTGTTGATTTCCTTCCAACTCTTCAAATTTCGGTGTAGCCTCTTACATTTTGATGTTTAAATAATTAGTTGTAACAATTTAAATTACTTGAAAGCTCAAGCTCAACATAAGTTTTATGGTTATTTTTTTCTCTTTTAAGGGTACAGGGAATAAAAAATGAGTCCGAAACTTAAATGGCAACTTTTTGGACTCAAAATACGTTTCTACTGTATTAAAAAAAATACTTTTCTACCTAAAACGCGGTATTATACTGCGTTTTACTTTAACGGAATTTTAGCCGTTAAAGTAAAGCGCAGTATAATACCGCGTTTTACATAGAGCGCAGTATTATACTGCGTTTTACTTCTTTTTTGGGTCCACCAATAAGTGTTCTGCGGTTAAATGACACGACAATAATTCAAATATATAAAGCTCGGTATTATACTGCATTTTACATAAAAAAATTCTGCAACCCGAGCTAGGACTTGCCTTATAAGGCGTTATGATTTTTTGAAAATCCATTCAAAACTTTCCTTCAAACTTCCGTTCATACTTTTCTTCTTGTTATCAAGCATTTTTTTATAATGTCTGAAGAGACCAAACATAGTGGCGGGGGGGGGGGAGGTGAGGTTGTAATGGAGAATAACTCTGTGAGGTATATAGTTCACCTCCACAGTGTCATGTTAAATTGCCGCTTACAATGGAGTACGATAAATTGGTATTGTTGTTACGTAAAAAAATGAGTGTGAGGAAACGTTCGGTGAACCTTAAAGTAACCGGTAGATTTCCGTATTCTGTGACTCCGCAGGGGTTTGCTTATTATTCTGAGTTTAACATCGCAGATGATGAAACTCTAGAGATTTTTTGCGGATTCCGGATGTATAGAGGGAATTTATTGTAACAAAATTGTTGGAAATGTATGTCAAGGTTGAAGACGTTCCCAATAATGAGGTTGTGCATAGTAGGGATAACCCCCAGTCATTGTTGATACCCAATTTTTCCTCAAAATATTTTTAAATTTGCATATATACCTTCAAAATCACTTTTTATAATAATTGGTATTTTTCCGACTTGTCCATATTATTATCAATTTATTTTTCCAATTTATTCAGTACTTTATATCCAATAATTATTCATAAATTACATTACAAGTAATTTCAATGTATTTCTTAGGACTACTTAATTTATAAAGAATATGCTTCTTTTGACCAAAAAAAAGTATTTCTTTGCTCAATATATCATTTTTAATCCTATTAGGATTTAATTATTTCACAAATTAGCCAATTTGGCATTGTTTGGCTATAATTACAATAATTTTGCAATTATAGCCTAATTGTGCACTTTATGCTATTTTAATTCAATAATCAGTCATTTTATATTGTAAATATTAGTTAATTACCTAATTTCACCTATTTAGCTTTAATTTTATTTTATTTAATTATTAGCTATTTTTATTAATTATTTATCTAATTTTGATGGGTATTTAACAATTAGCCATTCTTATTTAAATTATAGCCTAATTAAACCTGGTCCAAATTAAATAACCCACCAGACCCCAAGTCCAATACCCTATCCTATCCGGCCCAATCCCCATTCCATCTGAGTCGTTGATTATTTTGAATCAACGGTCCAGATCAACCCCTTCCTAATTTAACCCCCTAATGACTACCCCCGTCTCTCATTCCCCCCCCCTCCCCCGTCCCGTCTCTTACTTTCCTTCTACCGTACCGTCTCTACTC